ATATATACGCGGTCGGTGATCGCACGGCCGACCGTGACCGTGCGTAAGGGTTAAGCAGATTATGTTTTTGAGAGAGAAGGGAGATCCTCTTTTATCCTTTGCTTTTCAGAGTTTCTATGGTTGGACGTTGTAGTCCGTGGCAACCGTTAAAGTCAACCCCTTGATTTCTTCTCAGACCCTCGATGATGGAGCTGGTCTCCAGGGCAAAAAAGAGACGATTGCCACCACAAGTATGAACCTGCGTACCACCCACTCTCCACAGGGTGCAGAAGAGGGTGTGGTTCTCAACCGCACTTGGCGGTTGTCCAGCGTCGAGAGATCAGTCCCTCAAGGCGCGTGTCAGCCGACACTTGAGTGTCGAACGCGACCCTCGAGATTAACGAGGATCGCATGAGTATGGGTACTACATAGTACGCCATCATTGCGACCGCTTGCGTACGCTTGCATTGCGAGTCGATATGAGTTAGCCCTGCGTCCGCACGGTTTTATACTAAGTCTGGCAACCGTTAAAGTCAAACCCCTTGATTTCTTCCCAGACCCTAGATGATGGAGCTGGTCTCCAGGGCAGTAAGAGACGATTGCCACCACAAGTATGAACCTGCGTACCACCCACTCTAGGCAGGGTGCAGAAGAGGGTGTGGTTCTCAACCGCACTTGGCGGTTGTCCAGCGTCGAGAGATCAGTCCCTCAAGGCGCGTATCAGCCGACACTTGAGTGTCGAACGCGACCCTCGAGATTAACGAGGATCGCATACATAGTACGCCATCATTACGACCGCTTGCGTACGCTTGCATTGCGAGTCAATATGAGTTAGCCCTGCGTCCGCACGGTTTTATACTAAGTCTCGCGCGCAACGCCTATCCGATTTTCGCATCGGAGAGTTATGGGATGACTACTAAGGGACTAAGAGTGTTGTCGCGTTGTTTGTTCAGTGTCATTCTGTATATGTATATGTACGTGCGTGTGTGTGTGTGTGTGTTTATTTTTATGTTCTTTATAGTGGTGTGCGCGTGGCGTGTGGGATGCGTCCTAGTCGACCAACGACGAGTCGCACTTGGGACCTCAGCCTCCCAAGATGTTGGTTCGTGTGCGGGTCCGATAGAGGCGAAAAACCGCGCGTACCCCTATGCTACAGCGAACGAGAAACGCCCTCGACTGGTAGCTCGGCGGGGATACGCCCACCGAAGGGAGGTGACAACTCCCATAAGGTGGAGGTAAGTCGTGCCTCGTGTAGGCCCTATCCTGTCGTAGGGGCTCGCGAGAGGTATGGTTGGCGCACTCGGCCGGAGCGGCTTGCGGAAGCTCCATATGTATTCGCGACAAGGATCAGACCAACTCCTGCGTGACGCGGCCGGGAGGGTCCCGCCCCGCCTTGTGCGGTGCCGGACCGATGCCCTCGACAGCGCTGCGCAACTGCCTGAATTTCCCAGCTGCGTCAAAACCCAAAAATAGGCCTCTCGTCACTTGTCAGGCACACCTTCACTTAGGGTGGCCGTACTGGCTGAAACAGGACCTAGTAGGGCTTACCGAGGCCTTGAGCCTCACATTTGTCTCCACCAGGACAAAAAGTGTCTTTTCCCATTTCACAGATGGTTCTTTTCACCCGCCAAATGGTGGGCCTTACAAGTTCTTTCTTTTCTCAGTTCTTTTTTTCCTTTTCTTTTCTTTCAGTAACATTCTTCGTCTCTTTTGCAAGTGTGTCTGGAAGTAGCTGCCATTTTCACATCTTGCGTCCGCCCTTCCACTGCACCTGGTTGGCTGGCAGCTCTAATTTTCGAGGCCCACCAGTCCTTAGCCCCGAAGCTGTACCAGCCCGGGCCCGGTACTCGTCGACGGATTTCAATGAACAGTACATCGAATCGCTTGATCTCCGTTTTGCTTCAATCTTATTTGACATTTGATTGTCCCTCTGATTGAATCTGAGTGCCATTTGGAGAGCCATGTGTCTTGTCTGTATTCATTGCAGTGATGATCATTTCTCAAGTCTTAACAAGGGCCATCTGGCAGGGTTTCTACCAAGAACTCCGACTCCAGGCCTCTCGCACAAACTCACAATCAACAGTGGCGAAAATGGCGAAAACTTACTCCATGTGAAAACTCCGCGGAAACTCTTGTTCTGTCTCGGCAATATTTTTGTGGCATGCACGTCACACCACAATAATTTGAAAACACTCCATCGACACACCATTTTCGCAGTCCACACCACATTGACATGCTCCATCCCAGCACCATTTTTGCAATCGGGAGAATGGTTGTCTGAAATTATTGGAGAAGTCGGAAAGACACTAACAACAACCATTTTCAATGGTAATAGCACAGGACGTAGTGTGAGGCAGCTGGAAGATTGATATTAATGTCTTACAGGCACAACGTCAGGGGAAACAAACTCATCTAAGTTGCTTCATTAGGCTTTGCTAAAAGGTGTCTTTTTTTAAGAATTACCAGACTCCTTTGAATTTCATCCCACATCCAAAGGAATCCCTCAATCCCGCAACCGCACACTCAATAAAACAACACCAAAACTTGCGTACCAATCTCGTCCTCGTCCTCTGGATCTTCACTTGTGGTGGCCCGATCATCATCTTCTTTCACAGTAGGAAGGTTATCCCTTCTGCTTGATCCTTCCCTTCTTGCCTTTTCTGCCTTAGCTGAGCTACTGGCCCTTGACCTCTCACCTCCTCTTGATCTCCTCCCTTCCTTTGGCTCCACTTTTGGGCCAACACTTGATGATCTTCGTGACTCCCGTCTATCTCTTTCCTTCCGCTGGCTTCCTCCAGGACTTCCTTGGTATCTCTCTGAATCATCCACTCTGTCACGTCCATTGCCCTCGGCCCCTCTTCCCCTTCTTGATCCCCTACTGCCCCCCACACTACGACTATCAACTTCTCCCTGTGCACTGTTGCCACCATCAGCAGGCCCAGAACCATTGGAGCGATCATCATCTGCTCCCAAAGGGGCCTGTCTACCCGGTCTCCCGGCAGGACTAGTTGGAGATTGCTGCGGCTGTTGCTGCTGTGGCGGGGGAGAATGCTGTCGCCGTGGTGGAGAATGCTGCAGATCAGATACAATCACTTATGAGTTCCACTTACTTCCAGCATTGAGTTTTTCTAAAACTTGCAAATAAGAGAGGCCACACACAGCCAAACTCAGAAAGATGAGATATAAAGAATCCAAGTCCCAAAGATTAACAGAGTAAGGGTGAGGGTGGGAGATAGGAGTCTGAAGAACTAAAGCAAGAGTGGGGGGGGAAGGGGGAGACGGAGCGAGCGCGCGCGCGCGCAAGAGAGAGAGAGAGAAAGAGAATAAGAGAGGCCACACACAGCCAAACTCAGAAAGATGAGATATAAAGAATGCAAGTCCCGTCCTTCGGGACATCCGTTAAAATTGGAACGATACAGAGAAGATTAGCATGGCACCTGCGCAAGGATGACACGCAT